CGCCGCGCGCCGGGGGCGGGGCCGGCCCAGGTTGTCGGCGGGGGCACCCAAATGCGTTGGGGACCACTGCCCTAAAGTGCAAGAGGTAGTCCAGTAGGAGGGGGAGAGGGGCAGTCTCAGAGGGTACATTTTAGCGTTCGTTTAAGCCACTGGGAGAACTTGTTCCATTTCCAGAGAAGTTTTCCTGGTGGACTTTCTTCTGCTGTTGATTAATATTTCTTTTACTCTTTCAGAGCAGGCATTCTCGGCATCCTGGAGCCATAAAGGAGCCAGGCATGGAGGTGAAGTATGTGCAGTTTGAGGTGAAGAATTGTGATGTGACTCTGGGATAGAAGACTGCATTGTGGTGGAATAGCATATCGATCTGTGACTGACATTCTGAGGAGGTATGGATATCATGTTTGCCTCAACCATGCTGGTGTGATGTGAAACATGCGAGCTCAATCGGTTCTGATTTTGATTATGACCTTGTGAAGAATGGGAAGAGGTGGAAATACACAGAGCAGCGATGTGTCCCATTTGATGGAGAAAGTATCCCCCAGGGAGTGCTTTCCTAAGGCTGCTCTGCAGCAGTAAAGGTGGCATTTGCGGTTGTTCCTGGTTGCAAAAAGGTCTGTCTGGTTGACCATATCGGTGAAACACATAACCGAAGGTGTGCATGTCTATCTCCCACTTGCAACTGAGGGCACCTGCTGTCACATTTAACACCCCTGGGAGGTACGTAGCAATGGGGCTAATCTGGTATGCCAGGCACCAATTCCATAGCTTCAGAGCCTCTGTACATACAGACGTGGATTGTGCGCCGCCTTGTCGATTGATGTAATACATGCAAGTGGTATTGTCCGTCTTGATACTGACAGTTTTGTGAGCTATGTAGTGTAGGAAATGCTGGCATGCATATCACTCTGCTCTCAGTTCCAAAAGATTGAGGGTTTGCTCCACAAAGGACCATTTGCCCTGGGCCAAGAGGGCTCCTAGGTGAGCCCATCCCATAAGTGATGCATCGGTTGTAATGATAAGTATTGGGGCCAGTTGATGGAATGGAACACCAGTTAGAACACTGTATGGATTCATCCACCAGTGAAAGGAGTTGAGAACCTGTGGTGGAATAGTAACTGACTTGGAGAGCAGGTCTCTGGACAAAGTGTAAAGTGTGGCGAGCCAAGACTGAAGGCATCTCATGTGGAGCCCATGTGGCCCAAAATCTTTAGGCATTTGTGAATTGTTGTGCTACCGCTATTAGGTTGCTGAGGGCATTGAATCTGTGTGGGCAGAGTTGCTTTGGCTGCGACGGTATCAAGTGTATGCTCTTATAAATTCTAGCACCTATGTGGGATGGAGCGTGGATTTTTCATAATTTATATGGAAGCTGAGGCAAATCTGTGGTAGTCTCAGTCATATGTTTTGTCTCCTAGAGGGATGTGTCTTTTATGAGACAATCATCTAAGTATGGAAATATTATGACTCCCTGATAACGCAAACATGCCGCTACGATGGCTAACGTTTTGGAGAACACCCTGGGGACCAATGAAAGGCCAAAAGGGAGCACTCAGTATTGGTAATGATGACTGCCAACTGTGAATCATAGAAAACATCAGTGGGCGAGATGGATTGTTCTGTGGAAGTAAACACCTTGAAGGTAGAGAGCTGAAAGCCAGTTTCCTTGATCCAATGCTGAGGTTATTGTTGGTAGGGTCACCATCTTGAACGTTGATAAGTGATATACTTGTTGAGCTTCCATAAATCTAGAATGGGCCTCCATCCTCCATTCTTTTTCTGTGTCAGAAAATAAGTTGAATAAAACCCTCAGTCACAGAACTCTGTTGGTACTGGTTCTATGGCGTCTAGTCAGAGAAGGTGAAGTATCTCTTGCTCGAGGAGGGTGTTGTGAGAGGGATGGGTAGGGACGATGAGTAGGGGGGAAGAGAAATGAAAGAGTTGGAGTAACTATAGTGAATGAGCTCTAGGACTCATTTGTCTGATGTAATTAAGCCCGTTGTTGAAAGAAGGGGCAGGAGCAGTGTTTGAATTGTGGGTAACTGGCTGATGGTGTAACCACAAGGAGAGTTTCATTCTGGCTCCCGACTGAACCTTCAATTTGTTGTTTGGATGTGGAGGATTGGGCTGCCGGTGGTTGATGTTGCTGCTAGCTTTGAGGCCCACATCATTGGGTTCTTTGCTTTTGTCAGAAGTCATACCTTGGTTACTGTCTGTATGGCTCCCTGAGTCTTTGGTAAGTGTTGTATCTGGCTCTCTTAAATGGGGGTATATACATTCCCAGGGTCTGGAGGATGGTACAGGAGTCCTTCATCGAGTGAAGTACTTCATCGTTTTTTGCAGCAAAGAGGTTGGTCTTATCGAAGGATAGGTCTTCGACTTCATGCTGAAAATCCCTAAGCACCCACAATACTTGGAGCCAAGACATTCTCCGCATCACAATTGCTGAGGCGGTGATGCGTGCAGCCGTGTTTGCCACACCCATTGCGGACTGTAATGCCATGTGAGAAATTGTATGGCTCTTCTGCATAATGTTGAGAA